ATTTAAAATTCTAGTCTTTTTTTCATGTTTGATTTTAATTATTTTAACAAATATTTCTATCTCAGTACCAAATACCATAAGAGGGAATTGGAAAGAAAAGAGAAGGCTGAAAAAAAAGGGGAGGGGCTTTCTTTAATTTGTTCAGTTATTTGACATCTGCTGGTGTTCGTTATGCAAGCAATCTACTAATCATAGCGCTTAAGATGTCTCATTTCCCTTGTGTTGAGACTCTCAGAATGTTATATTAAGTCACTCCATGCTGATACTTTTGATAGGGACTCAGCTCAAGCTTTGTTTGTGGTTATGGGAGCACTTTATTCTTCATGCATGCTTCTCGGGGTCAGTAATGCTTCCACAGTACAGCCAATAGTTTCAATTGAGAGAACTGTTTTCTACAGAGAGAAAGCAGCCGGAATGTACTCTCCATTATCCTATGCCATGGCCCAGGTGACTGTCATTGTGCTGAAGAAATAGCAGCTTCTTTTGGAAAGAGCAGTTGATGAAAATATTTACAGTTCAATGTTCATTTGATGAGGCTTGTTATGTACTTCGCTCAAGACCACATATTTGTATAATATTCTATTTTGTTTCGTGGATTTATAATTTGCCTCTTTTCCTCGAGAAGATAAACAACTTTTGATTTCTCCTCAAGACCAGATATTTATATATATATATATAAATATATTTTCGTAAAGACCAAATCACATAACATCTCCAAAGTGAAGCACAGTTACACGGTAGAAAGGACAGATAGTTAAGGGACTGGGAAATAATTTGACTTCACACACATGAGGGGAAAGGAAGTAGAAGGATTTGGGGTAAATTCCCATATCCATGAAAATTGCACGGTGTACCTGTTTCCTTTCAGCCACCTTTTATGGTTACTGTCTGCCCCTTTTCAGAGTATTCGAGGATGGTGGATCTGGTTCTACGAGTCTGCGCTATTGCGTGGAATCTGCGGGGTATTATCACTTCTCCGCTAGGTGATGTGGAAACAATAATTGTAGAAGCAGAAATGTACGCAGTTTAATTTATCAAATTTTAAATTTGTTTTTTAGAAATTAAGTTTTATAAATTTTAGAATTATTTAAAACTTACATAATTATTAATTTTAAAATTATTAAATTAATTAAAAATATATATAAATTGATAAAAAAAAAATTGTAGGAGCGGGGTTTGAATTCCCTGCGAAAAAGTACTTGGATGTTACTTTCGGCTATGGTCCCGGTATGATCGGAGTGTCGGTAGCAGTACCTGTTGGCTTTTGTCTCTTCTTTATTATCTTCGCCGTCTCCATTAAAGTCCTCAACTTCCAGAAACGATGAGGACTTTACAATCCAGGAGCTTTTATGGATTGCATAGGCAAGCATCAAAATCATAACAGAAGACATTGAGTAGGAGACTTCAAGTTGAGATCATGGGGTATGCCAAAGGGGCAAAATACCTACCAGGAAGATTTCTCTTCAGTGCTTGATCCCACCAGACTACCTGACCTGGGAATTTTATGACATGAATCTATCAAGGATGTTATCCCCGGTTCTAAAATAATTGTCTTCTGTTCTAGTAACAGGTTGACATATTAGAAGATATGGAAATCATTCTTCATGCTTTACAAATCCAAGTTCAAACTAGCCATAGAAACGGGCAGCGGCTGGCTTACTTTGAACAATTTTTTCTCCAAAAATAGAGAACTATGACAAAAGATATACGTAGATGTTATGTACAAAATAAAACAGACGTACATGGTACTTCTACGCAGAATGCTCTGTCCCTAAAACATGGAGAAGCCAAGCCAGCCAGCTCACCCCCCTGCTTGCCCCGCAAGAGTGGGATTGAACATGAGAAGTCAACAATGGCATCTATAATGCAGCTGACTCCTAACTCTAAGGCATGCAGAATGAGTAAAAACAGTTGGACATCTGCATAATTTAATCAACTCATATCATATGGTACTATCGATATATATATTTCATGTTCATAAGAGAGAACTATTTAATTCAGTACTCAACCAAAAGCCAAACAGCACTTATAAAGGCACTATAATTTTTATTTGCTGAGAGAGCCAACTAGTGGTGCACCACATTCTCTCGTCCATTGTTCAACCCAAATGAAGTCAAGTCAAGGGATCATCTTCTCCTCTCTCATGGAATCAACCCAATACAAGATTGATTCCAATGTCTTGCATCTCATCGTAAAACCCAATCGGTCAGCTTTCTCTCGGGTTCCTAGCATTTTCATCGGAAAGCGGAACAAGATATCCAAGAATTCCCAGTTAGCCAAATCTTCCATCTCTGTGTGTAGCAGGCCTTCCTTCACTACAATTTCTTGCCAGGCCTCCTTCTTGTCACCCATTGCTTTTGCAAACCAAAAGTCGTTTGAAAACATTTCTTCAGGCACTTCTGCTCTAAACTTCTTTCCGAGGACCGGCCAGATCTCCTTCCATGTGAAACTTGGACCATTAATTGCGTTGAATGCTTGGCCGCCGGTGGAAGATATTCCATCATCGGTAGCTGCCCAAATGTGTTGTTCAGCTACTAGCCGAGCATCAGAGCCATCAATGCACACTTCCTCCCAACACTCCCTAGTCCCTCCAAACACAAAAGGGAGGTTCAGATGTTTGCAAATAGCACCATAGATAGCTAAACAACCCATGATGTTATACAAAGTCGTGTTGGAGCTCCCCATCAACAAACCAGGCCTTAGCACAGACCATGCCACTTTACCAGCTAATCTCTTCTTGAGCAAGTCCTCGAGAACATAATAGAAGTTGTAACCTTCACTTGTTCTTGGGCATTTTTCATCGTAGATAGAGACTTCTTTCACATCAAAAGGGCCTCTCAATGAGAAATAATGCTTCATTCCTGTTTGGAGTGAAACGTGCTTCAACGCCTTAGATTTGGCGAGGATGACATTCAAGGCATTGGACATCATGGCCTCGTTCTGTTCACAGCATTCTCTGCTATCTAGAGGAAATTCGCCTGTCCAAGTGACCCAAAACATGTGAGTCACATCTTGCACCATAGAGAGCTTGTTTTCTGTCTCTTCAGGGTTTAGCAAGTCACATGAGATGAAATGGTAGTTGGGACTTAGGATAGGAAAACTCTCATACCTTCTAGCCACGCCATAAACCTTCCATTTGTTTTTTGAGATTAACCTTCTGGCTAGTTCTCTCCCAACAAGCCCGGTGACACCAAAAATGATGGCAACACAATCAGCAGCAGCTTCAGCTCCATTATTCGATTCCTCATCTGCCATTTGATATCGTATAGTTAGCTCAGATTTTAGAACCTTGCAGCATCTATAAATAAAGGATTTCTTGTGTCCTCCCGTATGGTAGTTAATGACCCTCTAACAGTGTTTTAGAATGGCCTGACACCTAATCCGAATCAAACAAGTTGTCCTATTCTTTTGAGGGAGGATATCTGGCAAGGTTTCAAGCTTGCCCATTAAGACTCAATAATTGGTTTATAATATATTGCTACTCAAAATCAAGATAAGCAAAATCATTATTTAAATAGCTTCCTTTTCATGTCAAGAATACTTTATGTTTTAAATCAACCAAGATCACATGGCGAGTGGCAAATAGTTGCGGCGTCAATGCTTATAGACCGCCTTGCATGCCGGCAGATTGTGACATTTGGCCGTTAATATGCTGGCATTGTGGTTGCAACAAGAGCTTATAATATTATTTCCAAGTTTGTCCATACATGGTTAAGGTAGCCCTGGCACTATATTTGGTAATCAGACATGAAAGGTTTCAGGACCCCATCTTCTTAATTGATGCAGCTTACTATTTTTTCCCCTCAATTAATTTTCAACAACACATGAAACACCTTGAATGTCTGTCACCTGGTCCGGAAGAATTGGAGTTTGATTAAACGGTTGCGGTGCTAGTCATCCTGAATTTAGGCTGGGCATAAAGCTGAGATAAATTTTAAAAAAATCAGGCAGGCCCATCAGGGTTACTTAAGTGCACATAACACGTCTAATCTCATGCCTTCTCTGCCAAGGGATTAGAAGAATGAAAGAAACGAAAGAAACCGTCATCTAACATTCTTGTCCACAATTTCCCAAGATGTTTCTACTACGCTTTAACTGGATGTCCCAAATGAAAGTTACAACAAGCTGGAATTGTGGGTTAAGATTCATGAGCTCTGGATTTGCATGAAGAACTGAATGGTACAAAACCAGACCAGGTTCATCCTCCATAAACAACGAAAAGGGTGCTAATTCTGTCAGTGTATGGGGAATCTGCATCCAAAAACTTGTAATGCTAGTTTACTCCAAGCAAAATGCTGATAGAGTTGGATGCATGAATCATGACATATGAGTAATCAATCCAGTAATCTATTGTCAACCGTGATATTGCTGTCATTTATGTGCAACTTGGGTTGCAGCATCAAGTTGTTCCATGAGTAAACAGTCAAGCTGTCCTGCCAAGTTTATGCCAGCCACTTGAATTTTGATTCCTAGAGTGTCTCGTTAATTAATTAATAGAATACGGGACAGAACTAGAGAGAAGAGTCGGACAAAGCCAGAGATAGCCATGATAGTTAAATTTTGAGAAAATTACCCCCTCTCATAATACTTTTGCCCCTGTATTCTTAAAAAATTACGTACTACGTAGACAACACTTATACTGAGTCAGCCGCACGTGAACTCGTTTACCAAAAAGTTCAAAAATATTATAAAAATTCTGTTATAATTAATTTAATGCCAAAATGATTTTATAACACCATTTCTCTTTCTTTTTCCCAATTAAAAAATAACTTTTAACTATCTAGGTGGTAGTCAAATAGTAAAGACTTGGAATCAAGGAGTTTGCTTCCTCTGTAGTCTCAAATTCGAGTCCTTGATTGCTCATATGATGGCCACTGGAGACTTACATGGTCGTTAACTTCAGAGCCCGTAGGATTAGTCGTGGTGCACACAAACTGGCCCGGACACCCACATTAATCTAAAAAAAAAAAACTTTAGTTTTTTGAGGTACAATTACTCTTATATTCAAAGTTGTTTTCTTTATTAACTTGATTATTACATTGCAAGAAGTGAAGACAGATTATTGTGGTAAGCAACATGATACAGTGAATTAAATCAAATACATGGAAATCACAGCTGCTAGGTAAAAAAACTATATGCATTTTGACACTGCTTTGTACTTCAACTCAGTACCAAAACATTATTAGGAAGACATAAAGACAGAGCCATAAACAAACTTGTTCCATGAGAAGTTCTGTTTCTTCTACAGAGCTCCCTTCTAAATCCGAAAAGACCAGTCTCAACTTTTGATGGCCTTGTAACTCGAAAGCTCTCGTTTACCACACCATCCTCTCTTACCAGAATGCCAATGCAGGTGGTTCACAGATGAATTGAAGAACATAAATTGATCTGTGGACCATTCTTTGCTAGGGATCAAGCCCCGCATGTAAATGCAGCTAAGCTGCAAAGAGTCCATTGAATGGTTTGCCTTGCGAGATTTGATCTAAATCAGAGTTGTAGGAAACATTAGCAGTGATCAGTCAATGAATGAACTTGGATCATTCTATAACATAGATTTTCGCTAGCTAGGAACTTACTCTGAGGGATTTTGTGAACAAAAAAGCACGCGGCAATCACAATGTAGCAAAGGAAAAGAAGCAGCCCTTTCATGTAGTGTGAAGTTCCATCCTGCAAGTAATGAAAATACTACCATAAGAGAATTTACAAACCAACTAAATAACTAATAGCCAATATAACACGCATTAACAGTGGTAATTAAGAAAATATCAGATGACAAAACCTGTAAAGTGAAGGCTGTGATAATTATTGTGAAAGCAAGAGAACCGGTTTCAAGGAGACTGAAATCAAGGTCCATATGGATGTTCATTGTCCACGCAACAACAACACATAAAGGGACCTGAAGCCCACAAAAAAAGAAGAGGAAGAAAAAAAAGAAGATATCATGATTTCTTTACATTGTTAATTTAGCAAAGGATTTTGTTTGCCTGGGATACTTTAATCTTACCACAAACATTGAAATTTGAGTGGCAGAACCTAGAGCAACACCTAAAGATATGTCCTGCATAACAGCCAGATGATTGGTGTTACTGCAACTTAGCAGGCAACAAAATATAAGAGTAACACTACTGTCATGGTCTAACATATCATACCAGCTTGTTCTTGAAAGCAAATATGACCGATCCAGCATGTTCTGCAGCATTCCCCACTATTGGCAGCAAAATTATGCTGAGGAAACTGACAGAAATGCCCCAAGAATCTGATGCAGCCTGATTGCGATACATTAAAATTTGAAATCCGCATATTAGAAGATGCTTTAATATTGCTAACAAATAATATTTTAGAAATTCTCAAGTGTAATGTACCTCAATTGTGCCCACAACATACTCAGATAACAAAGCTATGATAATTGTCATGCCAGCCAACCAAGTAAATGCACTCCAAAATCCTATCACTGCCTTTTCTTCCTCCTCGTCATCTTCCTGTCATTCAACTTGAACCACTAAGTTCTATGCATTAATATCAACTTTGGATTAATTATTTCCTTTTGACCTAATAGAATACTGATCTCATTGAATAAAACATTTTTAAGTGCTGCAATTATATATAATGAGCCTCTTATAGCTTTTTTCTTGAAACTTTTTTGCATCTAGAGTTAATTAATCACCTCTTGAGCATCAAACAGTTGCCTGTGAGTTTTTAGCTGGAAGAAGATATAAGCAACATATGCTATAAGCATAATAATGCTGCTCACTCTGGACAACTCAAGGGTAGAGAAGGCAGTGGCAGTTCCTTCCCCTATGGCATATCTGAACATTAGTGGCAACATGTGGCACAACAACCCCAGTAATAAAAGTAATGAGTTCACATCAGCCTGCTTCTGTTAAAGCCAAAAAAAGAAGAAAAAAGATTATGAAATTTATTAGACCGTATATAATAATTACTTACCCAAGTTGTAAAATTAATTGGATTTGTTCTTGAATTTTGAGTGTGTGTCTTACTCTATCGTATTTCTGTTCCTTTTTTAGGTTGGCTAAGCCTCCACATAGGAGGGAAGTCCCAAGAACTAGAAGGAGATTTGACAAAATGGAACCCAGAAGAGAATACTTCAAGACATGTATTTTGTTCTGGTAAAGAGCGAGTATTGCTATTATCAGCTCGGTTGCATTGCCACATGTTGCATTAAGGAGTCCTCCAACTGCAAATGATCGAATCATCTTCAATTTTCAAATGATGGTGTAAAACCAGAATTAGAAGTAATCTGTGGGCAAATTTAAATTACCTGTTGGACCTGTGAAGTATGCAATTTGTCTGGGATTAATAACAGCGAGAACAACAAAAGTTGAAAATAAAGATTAGTATCAGAACAACCAATGGATAAAATATTCCACAAGTACTTGCGTATAAAATTATATGACTATGCTTAGTTACAGACTTACTCAGTGAGGAAGCTGACACGTTCTGCTAGTGGGGTGAGTCCTAGCAAGCTCAGAGCAAATATCCAAGACTACGTGTGGCAGAATAATGCAAATTAAAAGGATATACAACAAGAAATATCATAATATATTTATTTAATCCATATCTATGATCATCTTCGTTAATTTGGTAAATATGTATACAGGAGATGCTAAATGTAACAAAATCAATTGTAAATATACAAAGAAAAATCAATGACATGGTTGTGTAACCAAAAAAAAGGTTCCATGATTCTTCCGAAAAGAAACTAATCAACTTACTCTTCCGAACTTATAATAGTCAGCAGCAATTGCTAGAGGAATGGCTGGGAAGAGAACAGCCAGCTTAGTTCCAAGAATCACTTCTTGAAGATTGGTCAAGAAATAGCCAAGCATTTCAAACCGAACATTTGATGAAACAAGCATTGGATCGGATTTCTTTCGAATAATTGAAGATGAAACATTCTGTGGTGTCTTCCCATTGACAAAACCCCCCTTAATGTTATTGCTGTTCAAGCCTTCCTTATAGTTAACATCTCCATTTTCCAATTCTGATGAGACCTGTTGATGAACCTGCGAGTGGTGCTGGTCCATATTATGGTAAAATATTGTATAGCTACCACCCCAGTATACACCTAGTTTGTTTTCACTTCTACGTGAAGGAAATCCAAGCGATCCCTGCTACCTTTAGCTTTAATTCCTGGGCTGATATCATAAAGAGGATGTTATATATATATAGGACAAGAGAAGCTAAATGTTTCTGAGGCAGAAAGACCCGAGAGTGCAGTTTCTTTATAATTAGTGTAGCTTCCTGGAATTTTCCCCCGCTTGTTGCCATTCTTGCATGGGAGTCCACGTACTTGCTAATGAAATTGTCTAGGTGTTGCACTCCTGGGACTATATACTGAGGTTTCACACGGAATGTGTTATACATTACTAGCTATCAGACAGAGTGCAAAGATAGGAATGGAATTGCATCCATAGCTGTATATATAACAGGATTGGTACACCTTTCTTATTGCCTTTCAAATATAGTTTTATAAAGAATTAATATTTTTTATTTAAAATTAATTATTATTTTATGTTTTTAGATTGTTTTGATATGTTAATATTAAAAATAATTTTTAAAAATAAAAAATATTATTTTAATATATTTATATATAAAAATATTTTAAAAAACAATTATAATTACACTTCAAGTATAGTATAATATATAAGCCAACTGGTTCTTTATCTGATCATATTTTATATGAATAGTGAAAAAGCAATATATTATTGAATATAGTAATTGCATTAAACACGACACAATATAAAATACATGGCTATTTTTAAAATTCAATGATTATTACAGCTTACCAATTAAAAAGAATTAAATAAAACAACCTACAGTAATATGAAAACATGAACTTTCAGGTTAATATTTATCCATCTATGTACGCAGGGGGCTGGCAGGGCCTGGGTCTCTGGGAAAAAAGAAAACCAAACAGTTTTAAATTCTAGAATAAAAACTATTAAAATTAATTAAGTTGTGGTCCTCTAGAAAATCTCTTATAATCTTGGCCTCAGTAAAAAGATTTCCTGGCCACGCCCTTATGAACATTAAATAGAATTCTCTAATCTTCTCTATCAAGAGCTTTCTAAAATAAGAATGTTGTTGCAGCTTATATAAGTGGAACAATCTCAAGTTGTCATCAAGTACTTCTGAAGGAACCGGGTTACAACATCAGACTCCATTGATGGAAAACTTCACTTTTTTATATGATCGTTATTAATCTCTTCTAAATCATAAGATTTCATAGCAAACCATTTGTTCAGAGAAAATATAAATCAGATTATACCGATATAAAAAAAACTAAAAACAAAACCAGATCCAGAACCATATATGTGGAACTAAATCAAGATTTGGTAAAAAGGAAGAAGAAAAAATAGAGAAGTGAAAAGTGAGGTGATTAATTCTTTCATTGATGACGGCCATGGTGTTTCTCTCTTAAGAGAAATAAAAGAGGGCAGTAGGGAGAAGAAATTCCTTGACCACGTTGGGTAGGCCAAAGCTACTGTAGAAATGTTGCTTTGCTTTATTGCAAACCTGTTGAATTTAGAACTGCATGCACAGTGAAGATCTTGTAGCGTGTAGTCTGAATGAAGCAATTGATATTGCTACAGTTAACCTAACTAATGATTTAACAGCCACCAGCGAATGCATATATTCTAACATCTCACTCAAACTCAGTCACAACATGTATGTCAACTCTGCCCGAGTTTGAACAGTGAGGTGAGGAATTGAGAAAATGGGACTGGATGCGTCTTTCATCTGGTAATTAGAAAGATAAAGATCAAGAAGGGATTGGAGAGATCCCTCAAATATTCCTTCCTAGTTTACTCGAATTAGGTAGATTGATTTCTATCCTTCCATTTCTTCATAATTTTCAATGCTTTTACTTTGGATAGATTGACTCTTATCCTTCCAGTTAGCCAAATAATTGGAGGGATAACAAGCCCTACCCATTCCTTCACTTAATCCAACCCAGCTCCCCCAAAATCTATCATTCCCAATAAACAGTCTTACAGTTGCGTGTGAATAACTTGACGATGATAGCAAGGGGAAGATGGATCATCGAGAATGGAGAACTACGTGTGCTTCGTTGAAATGTGCTAGCTAGGTTAAACTAGCACGTGGCACCTCTTGTCGAATGCTATGTTTGGAAGAACATCACAAGTGTTATGGCCAGTACATGCATGGTGAAACGCAGACAGCAAATGATATAGAAAAAGGTGATAAAACAACAGGCATGCCAAGAATAAATCTCAGCCGTAAAATCTAAGATTTAGGAATTTGTTTAACCAGAAAGAAACTCAGAGTCAGGCGATATTGTAGAAGTAGAGTCAGCAAAATTCAAGTCTCGCAACTGAAAAGAACTTTTTTTGAAAACCCTAGAAGCCAGTAAAAAAGCCAAGTAAAAAACAAACAAATTTGTAGACCTAGAAAGAAACTCAGTCCCAATACCAAAACTCGAAAGAACAAGTCGGAAAACTCCTGGAACCGGTTTGACCCGATGCTAATTAAGGTTAGAGGAACCTAGAACAAAACATGGGTGAACAAAGTAAAGACATGTGTTTTACAAACAGACACGTCAACTGCAGCGTAGAATCTTATGGACAGAGCGCTTGGAGAATCAAATGATGATGAAATTTAATCAACAAGCTCACTAGATGATGAGAAATCCCAAATTAAGTGTATGAATCAAATATTTCTTCATCTTCTCTACTTATCTCATGTTTTTTTTATATTACAATGAAAATCTTCCCCGAATTCAAAGGATATCCATAGTAAAAAAAAATATTAAATTCAATGGGTTTTTGTTAGAATTTAAAAGCAAAAGGGCAGGTTTGAAGTTGAGTGGGGATGTTGGTATCCAAACCCAATCTAACCCCTTAACTTAACTGGAAATAAATAAATAAATTTTAAATTTTAAAAATTACATATATACTAAGCTAATTATATATTAAATTATAATATTCAGGTTTTAAGTTTTGATTATGAATACCCAGTAAATACTTGAAACATGATCAAAGTTAATTTCAGTTATACATACAACACAAAACATGATCCATAAATATAAATTAATGGTCTCCTTTTTAATTAAAAAAATGAACATGATTGAAATTCAAATACAAGTCACAACAACAAATTAATTAACTACCTCATATATATATCCTCTCCTAATTAAAACCATTTATTTCAAGAATATTGTAAAGATTTGAAATATAGAAACATGAGAGAATATCATGTGCTTGTTATCATCCAGTTGCATTGCTTTCTAGAATTTAACACAAGTAAAATCCTTCCAAATCACTTGATGTTTTAATCTTCCAAGTCTTATATTAAAGAAGGGGGCAGCAGTATCCGTACCCAGGAAAGTTTAGAACCTTCCTGGAATTTTCAAGGCCTCCCCAAGAGCAATCAGATGGCTGTGGTTTTTTCACCTGTCTTCGAGTGCTGATGAGGTAAAACAAGAACAAGAGCATGCATAAACGCCATTTGATTGGTTAGATTCTCAACAAGTAATGAAATTTGGTCGAAATTTCTCATCCCTACCGTCCAAAACAACCGCTGATCTCTTCTTACTCCCATCCAATATTATCTTACGTAAATGTCGTGCATCCCTGTATTAACACCTGATGGCTACGTGTTAGGAAGGAGGCACTTGTTATTATGACAAGTACGAGTATTTTAGTTTTTTTCTCCATGAACGGGTTAGGATACTTTTGCCTTTTCCTTTGATGGCCACAGGCGGCATTACCACTTGAGGTTTGTGCGTTTTTGTTCCTTTCTTTGTATAATTTATGAGTGCATGTATGGGGTACAAACCTCGACATCTTGCATGATGGTGACTCGTCATGTTAATAAAGAAAATTATTTTTTTCTCTCTAAGATTAGAAGAGTTAGAATAAAGGATAAATAGATAATTAATTTCTAACTCTGTTTTCTTTAAAAACATGCCTCTAATTTAAGCATTTTGTCTAAATTAAGAAGAAATTGCATGTAACCTCTTTGGGTTCTTGCTCTACACAATTTACAGGGCATTGAATATGGGCTAAAATGAGGCCCAGTAATTGGCCTTTTATTATAATTATAATTTTAATATACATGCTTGCGTTATGCACACTTCATTATTGATTAGAGTAGTGCCTTTTTTTATCACTCATTTTTTTTGTTTTTTTTTAATCTTTTGTGAGTTGATATTCTCTTCTATTTGCATATTCTTGACATATAAAAGTTTAGAACAGATTTCAAAAATTTATTAGATGTCAATTTAATAAGATATTATTTGAATTCATAGCATGAAGATATAATTAGAAGAAAAAATTAAAATTGAAAACCATAAAAAAATAGCTTTACTCAATTTTGTGGGGAAAAAAATGTATTTTTATCCATGTTTTTTATGTTGACTCCTCCTTTGGTTCCTTTTGTTTTAAGATGTTAGTTTTGGTGTATAACTTCATTTTATTTATGTTTTAATCCTTGAGGTTGAGAGCTAAGAAAAAATATCGATATAAAAAGAAGAAGAAGAAGTGAGAGAAAGTTGTTAATTATCTAAATTTCAATAACAAAATAAAAATTATTCTTGTTGAGAATGTGTTTCATTTAATAAGAAAGAGTGTCATTAAGGTATTTAGGTTGAGAGCTAAGAAAAAATATCGATATTTTTTAGGGTGAATTTTTATTCCCCATCTTGCCTAAAAAAGTAAATTAGGATTCAAGATTTTTTTTATTTAGGGTGAATTTTTTTAGTTTTTTTAATTGATTAAAACTTATTTAAGGTTGGATGTGGGGTTATTAAGGTTTTACAAGGTGTTTTTTGAGTGCTTTTAAATGAAAAAAAAATTGAAAATAATTTTTTAAGTCCAAGAAATCTGAATTCTACTTTCCAGACTTCTAATGTGGCTAAAATCTTGTTAGTATATAACATGTTGTATGTGATGTTCAAGGGTGTGCCGTGGCTTTTCTTTTCTTTTCTTTTTTGGTTATGGGCTAGGCACATTGGCGCATTCAATCTCAAGTGTCTAATCTCTTTTCGTTAAGCATTATATGACAATGTTTTTCTATAGATTTAATTAAAATTCATTGAAAAATTAATTAAATATATATTAAGGATATTATTTTATTAAATATCAATCACTTTTTTTAATAAGAATACGACATTCTTTTTTCAATATTAGCAATCGGCTTTCATGTCTTTTCTTTTGTTAAACTTTATTCGTCAACTTTCTTGTTAATGTCTATTTTTATTATTTTATAATTAGATAAAAAGAGATTCTATAAAGTTCTCTGCAACAATGCGTGATAGGTGTGTTATTCCTATAATCTTTTCTATAACAATTTGCTATATATATATATATAAAAAAAAAAAACAAGGAAGCTCATTAATAAGATAGATGCGTTATCAAAGAAATGTATTTTATAATTCTAATTGATTTTTTTATCAAATAAAAAACATAGCAAAAAAACACATATTTTTTCAGAATGGTTAATAAAAAAAAAGGAATTATGCTAGAAAATAATCTTGTTTCATTGTATTAAATTAGTACTTTTCTTATAAAAAAACATTGACAGATAATATTAAAAAAAATCAACACAAGATCAGACATGTTTTAATCTACATGTATCTCTCAATTTATCAATTTAATCTTTAATTAATTATAATTCTCGATTTATTTTTATTGATCACACAGCAACTTTTTAGTTCACAGTTCAAAATCAAGAATCTTCCTGGTGCCAGAAAACGTATGAACAGAAGCTAGCTAGCCAGGTCTCTAAATTAATGACCCGTTAGAAAAAGTCAATGACTGGTTGACAGAGGATAAATCGGGGTGGTGAGGTGGCGCTTCGGAGGGTAGTATTGAGATTTCGTAATTGTCATTGAGTTCCACTTCCATTTAGGGGCTTTCTTAATGACAGGAGTTAATCCGTGGAGTGTCAAGGTAACGTTGTAAACGGAAAATTGTCTTGCGTGAAAATCGCATAAATCTTACGTTGCGGGTCTTGAATTACACTTACTTACCAAAAAAAAAAAACAAAAAAGGGTCTTGAATTACACTTGTCGGATTTTTAGCCAGAGAGAGAAGGAGAAGAACAGATTTTCTTACAGCCCTCGTACCAAGTCTGACCTGGGTTTTGTCCGTATATATCCATTTTCTGTTACTGTAATAGTGATTTTAGCCTGCGATTTAATTTTTTTATCCAGAAATAAATTAAGAAAGGACCACACTAATCTGTGAAACGCCACCTTCATTGATCCATGCACAGCGCCTCCTAAATATTTTTATCAAGAGGGCTCCTTAAAAAACTAATTACTAAACAATTCTTTTAGTTTTTTTTATATATAAACATGGTTAAAAAATAAAACATCGTCTTTTATGTCATGTTTTATATATAAACATGGTTAAAAAATAAAGCATCGTCTTTTATATCATGTCATGTTATCCTATTTCTGTTTTTTCAAGAAATATATGTGTGTGTGTAAAAGAGAGAGCTTTATCTATCTCGACTACTTTTATTTTAAAAAATAATTATATTATTTAATGAAAAAAAAATATAAATTAATTATTTCATAAATTCTAGTGTAGTTTTATTTATTGGTTTTTGTTGATATTTTTTAATATATATAGAAATTTTAGAGTTTTAATAGTCAACATGAAGTGCTCCTAAGGTACTTAATATATGGGTTAAGAGTGATTCATGAAGCTTTTTTTATACTATTTAAATTTTTCGTTATGCATACATAGACATATAGTGAAGAAATAAGATCAGTATATTTGTTAAGAATTATATTAATTTTTTAATCTCTTTCTTAATTTGGTAAAATGGCGGAGTTTACATATTAATTAGTATTGATATGTATTTTGTATCGTCATATAAAAAAACATTTATATTTTAGCATATGGAATTTCTTAAAAAAAAATATTTTGTAGTTATAAATACATTTCTTTTACGCATATAATTCTTTTTATTCGACAATAAAGGTATTTTCAGACCAGTTTATATCGGTATTAATTAAGATACATACTTTACATCTATATAGTATATTCAAAAGAATTTAATAAATTTCTCTTTGAACAGGGTTCAAGGTATGATCTTTCAAAAGTGAAGGGGGCAAACTTCAAGGCAATCCCTTGGATTTTTTTAAAATCTATCTAAATATTTTATCTGAAAAAAAATATTTTTAAAATATATTAAATTATATTAAAGATTTTTTTCAAACTAAATATTTAGATAGAGAGTTCATGGTTTTACATAGAATTCTATTAAATCTGTAGGTGAGTGTGAAGAATCACTGTAATTCACCTTAAAATTGATAATACACAGCGTCATACATACACAACGCATCTATATAAATAAATTTATTTTTATATATCTTTATCTGTAATCCAACAACCACACTTTGGCATAAAAAAAATTAGATATATAAAACCAAATAAACAAAGCTTAAAACTAAACAAAATAAAAAAAACAATAGACTTAAAAATATTTGTAAACATAAACCCTAAAAAGGTAACGACAGCCCTTTTCAACAAAGTTGTTCAGAACTTCACACGCCCCAGTTACTTCCATGAGAGGCAACGTTTGAATCATTTGCATGAGATTCTGACGGGTTGCCTACTTCTGGAGCATGTGAAGAGGATGCAACATTACTGCTGTCTTTCATCTTGCTGTGCAAGGTCATTTGTAAGCCTTCGAACTTCTTCTCCAATTCAATCAACTCTTGGAGGTTGAGCTCTTCGACTGGAGCATTCCACCAATCCTCTATCTCATTACCTTTTATTTTATCCTTCAACTTGCTGCCTTTTTCCTTATTGTCATCCAACTGCTGTTGCATTTCATTATACTTTTGTGCTAGCTCATCGATCCTCGCCCTCCTATACTCCTCCACAAGTTCGTGGGTGCCATCTGTGTTTGATGGATTTTCCAGAAAACGATCAAGCACATTTTCCATTGAAGGGTGGCCGAATGAAAACGGCTTACCCCCAGGTGAAAAAACGAGAAATGCAACTTCTGTCCCGGTTAAAGTGATAAGCTCGCTCAGTTTTTTGTAGATCCCGGATCTACGCTTTGAGAAAGTGACTAATCTATCATCTTCATTTACAATTCTCTTCATTTCCACCTTTTGCCTTCCTCTTGTTTTCTTGGCTTCCATAATGAAAAATATAAGAAGCAAGATAAGATAAATAGATAGAATATGTATGATGGCACTACTTGGCTGGAGAATGAAGATGTAGGAAGAGAAATTTTAATGCAGTACTTTGCTGGAGAATGGAGATGTATATATAGGAAGGGGAACTTGAATGTGCTGAGTGTATGTTTGGTAATATGGTGGGGCCACCTTGAAATATAAATCCTATTAAGTAGTGGATAGAATTTTTTATAAACAACTTAAATACGTGATTAGAAATTATAAGTGTTAGAATGATTTTATTATCATGATTTATTGAGATTCAGTTACATGATGCTTTGATTATTTCCTTGAAGTGGAGGCTGGGTATATGATGTTTTTGAATTGAAAATATATTTTTTAAAAAATTATTTTTTATATTAATATATTAAAATTATCAAAAAATATCATTATCTAAAAATATCAATTTGATATTTTTTTAAATAAAAAACGTTTTGAAAAACACTTAAAACTATAAAAATAAAAACTCCTAATAAAGTTTTCATTTCAATTTAAGTATATTTAATTGGAATTATATAATTTTTAAATGGAGAAGGCTGATGATTACTCTTGGAACACATGCTAAGCATTATTTGATTACATATTTTATTCTTGCATGTTTTTAAATCAAGTTAATAAATAAATGAATCCTATATTATATGGTGACTTTTTTGAGTGTTTATAATATAAATTACGTTGCAGTATAGAAAACTAGATGTTGATTTTAAACTATAAATGACTGACTCTTGCCAATGTAATAATGTTGTGTATTGGCCACATTTTTAAAAAAAAAAGATTATGGTATGTTCTTTGTTCTATTAATTTAGAAATGGCAATGCATAGACACTCATAGGTTTTTTATTTTTAATTATTGGTTGTCAGACTATAATATAAAATAATATTCTAAAGGTTCATCAGTGACTTTAATTTCTAATCTCAAATAGTTTTTAATATAATATTAAAATTTATAAAATTATATATTAGCAAGTCACCCATCATGTTAAGTTTTCTAGTTTATGTGCTTCTTGGATATAGATAAATTAGTCTTTTTGTTACTTTCCTCTAATTTGCATATTCCTTGATATTTGGATCATATAAGATGATTTATTATTTTAAGTAGTTGATCTTAATCTTAATTGTCGGTTATTAGAGCAGTAAAGAATAATACAAATTTTAAGTAATCGATCTTAATTGCGTTTGTCGGGTATTAAAACTACAAAGAATAACCTAACATGTTATTTTAAATAAATAATTATTATCTTTTATATCATATCATTTATAAATTATATAATTTATAAATGATAAAAGCTAATGATTATTCTTAGAATACATGTTGAACATTATTTGATTACATAAATGAAAAATTTTAAAGTGCTCATCAAGCTTTAATTATTGAATATTTATTGTATATAAAAAGGATATACACAAAAATAAAATAGAGAAAATCATATTTGATTTCGATAAAAAATAATAAGTATTCTTTTTATATTGAAAAAATATATTTTTATAATTCTCCTCTTAATTTTTTTTTTTTTATGTTTTGTATTTATCACTCTCGCATGATATGAGAATTTAACAGTTACATTTTAAGCACCACAAAATTTATCTACATGTTAATCTTGTTTTTTCAATCAAGTTAATGAATGGAATAAAAATCCAACATTTATAGATGTTAACTAAAGATATTAAATGAATATTATATTATATGGAAACTTTTTAAGTGTTTATATATAATATAAATTATGCTGCAAAAAAGAAAATTATATGTTGATTTAAACTATAAATGACTATTAACAAGTGTAATTATGACATTTGCTGGGCACATTTAAAAAACATTTATGGTTAGTTCTTTGTACTCTTAATTTAGAAAGTACAGATCATTTGTTATGCATACCTCATTCCAAACCAATTATATTTATTTCAATTAATTATAAATTGTAAAAAAAACAATATAAAATTATAACCTAGAGGGTCATCTAATTATGACTTAAATTTCAATGTTTAATAATTCCTTAACCTAATATTGGAGTTTATAAAATTATGTATGGGAGATTCACATGTTGATTTAGATGTTTTTTTATATAAAACAAACATTTTTTTTTATTTTTCTCTAAGTAGGATATTTTTATTTTAACAAGATGTTTGTACCATATGGTATGATTAATCATTTTAAGTGCTGCTTCTTATCACGGTAGGGTATTAGAGTTATTGAGAATAAAACAACATATTACAATATACATGTAATAACTCTAATTATTGTTTTTATGCAATCATGTATGGAAATTTGTTTAACAACATTGAAAATTTGTTTGTTCTTGATAGGTATGTGTGAAATGTATTTTTAGTAATGCAATGTAGAGTGTTTTTATAAAAAAGAATTTTATTAATAATGCATTAAAATAATATTATATTTTTTTATTTTTTATATCAACATAATAAAACTATCAAAAAAATATCTAAAAATACATTAATCTGATTTTTTTCAAGTGAAAAAACAGTTCAAAAATGCATTTTAAAAAACAAATTAAACAACAAAAAGAAATATTATTTAAATAACAATATCAAATAAGTGCATGAGGTTAACTATTAACCTTAATCAGACATGTGTGCGCAAAACAAACATTAATTATTTTATATTCTATAGTGAGTATATGTAAATCTGCATTAACAAACTATAATTATGAAACAATAAATGATTAATATAATACAATTGTTAACAGTTGAAGAGATAGAATTTAAACATTGTAAATCAACTAAATAAAGGAATACATACAATGTACATGGAGATAAACGTGCTTTCATAAAGAGTAACGAAAATGACTATACATCTCAAAAAAAAAAAAAAGAGCATGATTATACATGATTAAGAGGCTGAAACAGTATAAATTATAAATTAACTAAATAAGAATTGGTTTGCATACAATATTTTTGGGATTGGAATCCTCTGATGTTTCTTCTGAGCATGATCTGTAATTTGTTTTTTTTTTTTTTATGAAAAATGGCATAGTCTATCTGTAATTCGTGGATTAAGTCATGATAAACGATATCTCTTATTCTAATGATTTTGGAATGAGAATCTATATAAGTGCATTATAAAATTTTTATAGCCTACATGTACACATGTGAATAAAATTATAGTAAAAAAACCAATCAAATGAATTTTTTTAAGGTTCTATTTGTTTTGTTTAAAATATTTGTAGAAAAATAGTTTTTTATATTTTCTTGTGTTTGTTTTCTGTAATATATTTTATAGAAAAACTGGTTAATATTTATTTATTTTTTCTATAATATATTTTATAAAAAAATTGGTTAATAAAAAATATTTTAAAGCCAGCTTTAAAACTTAATTAATTTATTTGTTAGAAAATATTTTCAATTTAAAAAGTTTTATAAAAAGTTTTATGAATAGTCATTCACTTGTAATAATAACTTCTAACTATTTTAATTTTTTTATTATTATTATTTTTATTATTATCATCACTTCTAGTACCATAACCGTATCTTACAACTACTATAACTATCTTATCATTTTTTTTTACATCACTATCTCATTATAACTATCTTTGTTTAACCATTATTTTTTTTTGTTACTATCTTTTCATCATCATGTTTTTGTTTTTGCTATTACCATTGAAAACTATTTCACATATAAAATATTTTATAAAAAAATCTTATATGTAAATTACTTTTTATTTGTAAAATATCTTAGGTAAAACAAAAGATAAAATAAAATCATAGTTTACAGGGCAACAATAGGATGACAAATGAATTAGAGAAAGCCCAGTCCACCACTTCATAAAAGTTAATAAAAACAGAACCCCCAGAGCGTTTGGGGAAACCAGAGAAAGTCCACAAAACCCATTATCAAAAAAAAAAAAAAAAAAACACATTAAAAAAAAAAAAAAAAAAAAAAAAAAAAAAACACTCCCAAGTCCCAACGCGTCTGATTTAAAAACACTCCCAAGTCCGAAAACAATAATTTAATAAAATAAATTAATTTTAAAAAAAATCTTTTTAAAATGTAAAAACAAACCGGTTTTATCTGGATTGAATACGCTAAATGCTTTTCAACTTGATGGTTTATTTATGGTTTTTTAAAAGTGTTTTATTTAAAAATAAATTGAAATATTTTTTTTTATTTTTTTAATATAGCATGCTATTACTATTTGAAAACACAAACAAATAATTAAATAGGGCTAAATCTCTATTTAGACGGCACTCAAAAAAAGCACACAGCGGACTCATACTGTTAGATTGATTATATATATATATTGCAAAATGGATCAGAAAGTAGACAAAAGGTGAACTGCATCGGCTTTCTTTTTCCCTTCTAATGGCCGTAGCCTTTTGGTAATCGAATTTGCACGAATTGTTTGTTTCCTGCTCTATGGTTTTGACGCGCTTACCATCGTTGACTCGCAACCATTGCCCACTAACTCAAAAGGCCACATGGTCCATTTTTAGTGGGCCGGAAATGCAGTGGAATCCGATTCAAAGGGAAAAGGTTACGATTCGGTGTGGACAGAACTAGATTATATTCCTGAGCTTATGATAGCCATCGTGAGTGGAGACGTGCGTTTATTAAGTATCTTCAATGGATGGCTTGCTTTAAGAAAAGTGTTCTGCTCAAGTGGTCGTAATTTCTTGTCGAAAGGTGGTCGGTGGGGGTTTTCTTCTCTGCGAAGATGGCCTGCAACCGTCAAAACTCTGAAGGCATAGCGGAATAGCGGGTTGAAATGTCCGTGTTTAACACGTGGGATATCCTTCTCCGTCAATTGGAAGCATGCCTCTAGGACATCCTTCAAGAATGGTTCTTGTAGAAGATTTATAATATTTTATAAATTATAAATCCTGTTTATTTAAATTATTTTTGGGATTCCAGTGAGTTAGATATAACTAGTTAAACTAATTTTCTGTGTGAATATTATAAATATTAATGAGCTGAGTTTATATTATTAATTTTTATGAATTTATATTTAGAGACGGATCCATCTCACGGACTATAAATAATATTACACCCTTAATATTATATCTAATTTTTATATTAAATTCTAGTTGCTCCTTTTATTTTGTAAAGAAATAAATTATTTTTTG